TTATTATTAGTATTATTATTATTATTAGTATTATTATTATTAGTAGTAGTAGTAGTAGTATTAGTATTATTAGTATTATTATTATTAGCATTATTATATACAGGCATGTATTTCGCATTGAGCTCAACGTCTGACCCGGTGTAATGGTTGAGTTCGTCCCCGAGCAGGATGGTGCCCCACTCCGCAGCTGACTGTAGGCGCCTTACGGACTTTAAAAAGACCGCTGGTTAATTCTCTAATGCACTGTAAATATCACCTTTATTCATTTAACAGAGCAGATACCGTGGCATTTAAAAAAAAACAAAAAAACAACGTGAATACAGCTATTTAACTATTCATATAACGAATTCAATTCAAATTGTAAGCAGGCACCGACTCCCACACCCCGTAGAGGCCGTCCCAGCGGAGAGTACCTGCCCTCCTCATAAAACAGGAAGCCAAACTGAGCGGAACTCGGATCGGTAATATGAAAACACGACCGACCGCATTAAAGCTTCAGTAGCTGGGAGACAGTCAACCGAGCGACACCCCCGGGGGACCGAACACCGGCGGTTTGGATTCAACTCTAACGGCTGCTAAACGGCCCAAAACGGCTCAAACGGCTCCAGAAACGGCTTTTCCAACAACGCTCCAACGGCTCTTTCGCCTCTACATACGAGTTTGAAGCCGCTTCGCTCCGTAGCTCGTTTTGCTAACTTTTAACAGCTCCCCGATCGAGACTTCTCTCTCTCTCTGTTTGTGTCTCAGCTGGTTTTATTGCTCAAGACCTGCCTGAGTGAGGAAGTCTGCTCCTTTTCGACACCCTTTTTTTTTTTTTTTTGTTTTAAAACATTTCACCATGGGCTCCAGGGCGTCCACGTTACTCCGAGAGGAGGAAATCGAAGAAATTAAGAAGGAGACTGGCTGTAAGTCTCTGTGTAATTCCTGTGATTAACATGAAGACAGGAGCTGTCATTCACCGCACTTTGTTAGATCATGTCCTACAATATAACCTCCACATCACGCAATAGCTATTAACTGTGTAACAGTACACTCACGACCTTTGGGGATGATATTGTCCATTTTTTTTCTGGCAGTGTCATGAAAGCACAATCATTTTCCGGCTGCATACTTGTTATTTTTCTGGTTTTCTTTCTGGTTTTCTGGTGGTAAAATCTGTGTGTTCCCCCACAGTCTCCCACAGTCAGATCACTCGCCTGTACAGCCGATTCACCAGTCTGGATAAAGGTGAAAACGGCACACTCAGGTAAGCAGCAGCATCGCCCATCATTGTGAAAATACACACATTTAATCACCAACGAGATGCTGTGGGCTGATTAGTTTGGTTTTGGCAGGTAACCAGTCAAAGATTGGCACTATATTTTCTATAATAAAGGATAGAATGACTTAAATACTTGTTATAAAGGCGTTAAAACATCATTTCCTCACTTTAAAATTGTTATTAAATGAATATTATTCTTTTTTTCAGGTAACCAGTCAAAGATTGGCCCACTTATATTCTATAATAAAGGATAGAAATGACTTAAATAAACTTGGTTATAAACGCCGTTAAAACAATCATTTCCTCACCTTTAAAATTGTTTATTAAATGAAATTATTATTCTTTTTTTCAAGGTAACCAGTCAAAGATTGGCCACTATATTTTCTATAATAAAGGATAGAAGTGACTTAAATACTTGTTATAAAGGCGTTAAGACATAATTTCCTCACTTTAAAATTGTTATTAAATGAATATTATTCTTTTTTTCATTAAGAACTGTGATGCTCCTTCAACACATCCTGTAACAACTACAGATTAACTAGAAATATGGAGAAAAAAGGGTTTTTAAATCGACTTGAAATGGGTGTTTTTTAATAGATTGTACTAATGTTACAGCACTTTCTTCTTTAAAACTACTTTTATTCCATAAATGTACTACACTAATATACATTTAATAGATTACTGACACTGTTTTACCATTAAAATCCTCTCAGTTGGGACCTCGGTGTGACATTTCTAAGGTTTGTGATTAACTTCTAGCTCTATCCTCCATCTGTGCAGAACAAGCAATAGGTGAAGACGTATGTAATCATTAAGGCAGCTGAAAACTTTGGTTTGGCACTTGCCCATCGGTCTTTTCAAGGGTAAAAAAAACCCAACAACCGATCTTTCGAAAGACGTTGTGTTGACACATACACAAGTTCTTGGTTCTGCTTGTTCTCGCTCCGGTGTAGTCGGGTACATTTCTCCCCAAGGTGACTTTCTTATCGTTCATTAGTTGCCACAACAGTGAGATTTTACCTACGTCTCAGCTGACCGAGGAACGTTTTCACTAACTGATTCCTGAATTCAATAGATTTAATGTATTTCCACAGCCCAAACTATTAAAAATATGCATTTGCCATCCTGTTTTCATATCTGCCGTCAAATAAAGTCTAGTTTTTAAAAGAATAATGGAGTTTTTACAGGTGATCACGATCTTAAGATCTCTGGTAAATTGTTGTACGGTTTTAAATGAACATCTCTTTTGATTTAAATTAGTTTAAAACGTGTTGGTATTTTCCCGTCTGCAGTCGAGAAGATTTCCAGAGGATCCCAGAGTTGGCCATCAATCCGCTGGGCGACCGAATCATCAACGCCTTCTTTCCTGAGGGGTGAGTTGTCCCTGTTTTAGCTTTGAGTCACAACCACCACAAAGCTGAACGAGGCCATCCGGCTTTTCCCTTGTGGCTGCTCGGCTGCGGACTCGAGAGGCCTCGGTCTTTTCTGCCAATTCTGCGTTTTGAAAAACAAAAAAATAAAAAAATAAAAATCAACGTGGGTTTTTGACCACCGCAGGTTCTTTATGTATATCTGGCAGCTGTTTGGCTGCTTTATCAGCCTGAGAGCTGAAAACCAGATGTTTTCAGATGTATCATTAAAATCCCAAAAAGTCAGATGTGTAGGCGTCTTAATTTTAGCCGTGGCTTTTAATGGTTTTAGATGTGTTCTTGTTGCTCTGGTTTTTGGCTTGTTTGCTTCAGAACAAGTTGAGAATAGAGGGTTTGTGCCGCTCAAATGGCGTTAGGTTACGATTACTTTATCTTTGTTATTCACACAGCTAATAAATGTAAAGGGAATCTGAGCCGGCACGTAGGATTAGTTCCTTTTGTGTCTTATCCAGAAAGTTGTGTTAAATCTTGCTCTTTTTCTGCTCCGTATCATTCTGTCTGGTTCTTAGAGAGGACCAGGTGAACTTCAGGGGCTTCATGCGGACTTTGGCTCACTTCAGACCCATCGAGGACAACGAGAAGAACAAGAACGCCGCTGTCAGCGAGCCGCTCAACAGCAGGACAAACAAGCTGCTCTGTGAGTGTGGAGCTCGGTCACACGGGCGTGTCTGGGTGGAGCCGGTGAACATTTAAAGGATTTCATAAAGTGTGCTTTACTGTATTTATTTATTTTCTCCCTCCCCAGTTGCTTTCCGTCTGTATGACCTGGACAGAGATGACAAAATCTCCCGGGATGAGCTGCTGCAGGTGAGTGGACGGGTTTGTAATGGAGATAAGATGCTGAGTCACAGTACGGTTTCTGGAAACAGCTGGTTAATGCAG